TCCCCCCGCCAGCCCCTGGCCGGACGGCCCATGGCTGCTCGGTGGCGGGAACCAGCACACGCATGTCTGCTGAGGACAGAGGTGACCCCCGCAGACGCGCCAGACCGCCCGCGCCCCGAGGCACTCAGGCGTAGCCCAGGGTCACAGGCTCTGTTCTGTTTGAAGTCCCCGCGGGCCTCAGATCTGAGCTTGTTCAGGGAGTGCGTGGGCGCCCCAGGGCTGACCATGCCCACCGCAGGCCCAGGCCGACTAAGTGATAGAAATTCTTATTCTTCTGGGTCGGGAGGCAGGAAGCTCGGATCAAGGTGTGAGGGGGGTCCCAGCCCCGCCAGCACTGCCGGGGCTCCCTTCCCTGTGGCTGACCACGAGTAGGCAGGAGCGGAGGACACCTTGGGCTGTGGGGGCCACCACGGGCGCCCGCTTTCCTCCTGGCAAGACACCACCCTCCCCCGCCTTCCGAGCCCCCACATTTATCTCCGCCCGGACCCTCCCACCTCCCGCCTGAGAGGGCGCTGTCCTCGGACCCCTCAGCTCCACCCCCTGCAGAGGCCCTTTGCCACCAGGGGACATCATGTCCCCAGGAGAGTCAGGACGGGACTGCCTTGGGGCCGCCTACCCGCTGTGGGTCCCTGACCTGCACACGCACCCCAGCCCCGACCAGGACCCACTGGCCAGGCAGCAGGCACCTCAGTGTGCTCAGGTGACTCCCCGCAGTGGCTCGTTTGAGGCGAGTGTTAACTGCTAAGCGGGGAACACACCCAAGTCCGGTGTGCGGCAGGACAGGCACTCCTGTCCCAAGGCCCAGGAGCAGCCTGTGCAAGGCCCCTGGGCGCCGCGAAGCAGGAAACCCCTCCCCAGTGTGTGTTGAAAATGGGCTTCGCCCAACGCCCTCCCCGGAGGCTCTGCCGCCCCTCCGGCTGGACCGCAGACCCGGCGGGCGCTGCCTGGGGCCCAGTTGCTGTGCGCTCGGGCCGGGCCGCTGGAACCTGCCGGGCCCGGGTTCCCTGCCCTCCAGGACCCGGTCGG